TCCATAGGAGCGTTTAATCCAATAAGGAATTCCGTAAGGCGCCTACGAGGTCTTTGGAGGTCTAAATAAAAGAAACGAAATAGAAAGCTAAGAAACCCAACTAAATAAGCATACTCTTAATAATTTCTGATCTTTTCTCGCAGGGTCCTAATGTTTCTTCAATAACTCCAATAGGGAGGATCCGAAAATCAATGTGATTGTCTTCAATTTCGCGTAGATTAACCAATCCGCGAAATTCTTTTAAAGTAAAAGAAACATGAAGAGGTCCCCTCCTGCCACATATTATGACTTTGCGAACCCTACTTTTGGACAGTATTTCGAGCACAGGTTCGGGTATGTCAGTCTTCTACAAAGACACTGAAGACACAATGAGCAAAACTTACGTAGAGTCTATCAATCGGTGAAAGAAGTATTCTAGCTACGTCAACGGCAACGTTACCCATCCCAACTATAGCTACGACCTCGCAATCGAGATCATACTTTGGCTGAAGAGGGTTTGTCAAAGTATTACACATTAGCATACCAGGCATCCTGATGGAAAGCCATTGTACCATGAGACAAAACTTTTAGCAGATATAACACCCGGAGAATCCTATTAAATTTTGACCAATATAACAACAAACCTCGCCCAGAATATGCATTTTTCGATCTTCTGAAGCGCCATAAGCCTAGCATTTGAAGTTAACTCGAATATATGCATACTAGGACTACAGCAGAGTAATTTTCTCGTAATTCCTTGAGTGATACACTACTACCGACGGAAATATTGCCCCAGAAGTTGAAACGATCATGTTTGGCTATTTGGGTGAAAGTATTTATTACATTCTTAAACTGAAAAGAATTAAATACAAGTATACTTTTGCAGCATAATGATCTGGAGCTATTCCATACCTCACCAAACCAAACGGAACAGGGAGTTTTTCTAGTATATCAACATGCGTATAGCTATGATGCTGGAAGATAGAGTATGCTATAATTACTCGTAGCAAGTGTTGAGCAGTATAAAAGGCGGACGGTCCACTACCAACAATACATATATGATGACGAAGATCTGAAAAATAGCAACTATGGTGATTTAATATGGAAGGATAAGGCCTTGAAAAAAGGCGCAGGAAGAGAATACGAGAAATCATATGGTTTATAGCAAGCTAAAAAGCGCGCGCAAAAAAGCAAAACCTTTTTGCTTTATAAATATGGGTAAGCCATTTTAATCAAAAATAAACTCTTATTAGATACAATATTATAATGTTGTTGATAGCGGGTATTAAGAAGTGATTGTAGGGCTCTGGCTGCTAATCTTGCTAGCATGCATGACGAGACGGGATGGCTCTATTATCTCGTACAGCCTTCTTCTCTACTTTCACATTTTATTGAAATGAATGATGCAAAAAAAACCTATCTTTTAAGAGAATTTTTATCTCAGGCTGAAATATGTGATCGTCGATCCTCCCAGCCTTCCCTCCCAGTTGTCTTAAAAAGGCTTGCTCCGCTGTCAAACATATCCGCATCTAAATCTGATTCCTCAGACTTGTGTGATGCGTTCCGCAGTTTTGATGCCGAGAATATAGACTTAAGCCAAAATTATAGCAAATCGAGAGTCCTAGATACTTTGGCTCTTCAAACTGCAGCCGAGTTGAAATTCAACGTCAACTTGTTTTCTATCACCGCCGAAATTCCTATCAGGTTGCTTGCCAGGCTTTACCGCATTTTTATCTCTTCTGCTTCGCAAATGTCTAGGACCAATTCAGATGATTTGTTGGCTGGTTCTGAAGTTCCTATAAATCCCTACGATGTTGTCGACTGGGCCTCACTTCACCCACTGACTCTATATGCAGTAATGATATATCATCTGTGGTGTCTCCAGGTATGCTTTTAACGCTGGCTTAAGATTTCAGTATTCATCTTAGTCATAGCTTCACATTGGTTGATTTAATTTGCCTCTTACTCATATACATTTTCCTTGATCCGTTATTATTTATTGTTTCTAAACTTTTAAACCCATAATTACTTATAATTTCAAGTTAATATTTTCTTTTTCGAAGCCTATTGCGTTTAATTTTAATCTTTTTTCATAATGATGTTTATTGGCTTGCCATTGTCCAACTTTTTTGACATTTAACCACTTCCTTAGAACAAATTATTTCTTTGGCCCTTCAATGTATATATTTTAATGAAATTCGTGGAAAAACTGGGGCATAATGCCCTATCGTTTATTCTCAG